CACACACACACACACACACACACACACACACAAAACAAAAACCAAAAAAAGAAGAATAAAACGAAAACAAACAAGGAAAAAAACCAACAAAAAATAAAGCAGAGACAAAGAAATCAAGAAGTGATGTAGTGTTCATGCAGATAACCATGCATCACACTTTTAAAAAATGTGTGTGAATAAGACCATGGCAGTAAGAACTGTCTCAATAAACAACACTACTATCATATTTTCTTGGTCTGAGAAAGGCACACATAAAGTTGACAAACAAATCAAATGGAATTGACGAGAAAATCCGTCTTGTAATGTATTCTGTAAAGACCGCAAAAAGGACGGACAGAAATATGGCCTGCATTTTCGAAATATTTTTTCGCCCTCTTGAACGGTTCCCTATGTTCTCTATGTGACAAAGCACCTAAAGCCATTCACGTTGTTCCTTATTCTTTATCACACAATGTTATCAGTCTTTTAAAGAGCACGGGAACAGAAATCGATTTTGTCGAACAACCTATTGAAACGAAAGGAAAGGATCAAGTGCTGATCAATCCTGACTTAAATAAACACCCCGGAACACCTATGCAAGGAGGGGTAAAAAGAAAGAAAATAAAATATGTAAAAATGGAAACAGGGTCAGGCGGGTGGGTGGGGATTATGCCATAGCATTTTGCCCCTTTCAGGAGAACAGCACACTTAACCTGAGACGCATACAAAATCTATGGGGTATTTAATTTTTCCAGCCTTTATAAAAAGAGGTACGAGTAAACTTGTCGTGCGAAGACCGAAGACCAAAAGAATTGGAACAAGAAAGAAATGTATGAAAAAAGGAATTTTTAAAAATAGAACAGCCGCCGTATCGTATGTATAAAACAGTCTCTTTTAGATCAGTCAATTTATTTCAGAGGTGTAATGTCATATTTAGTATATTTATCCCCAACAGGCTCAAAGCAAAGTATGAGAGAAGCCACGAGAACTCTCTTCGGGCAATCAAAGTTCAAGAATATCCTGTTCAGAATTCTAAACGCAGTCCCCTGGAACCTTTAGCCCAGCACGACACCACCTGACTCACGGTGCAGCCACATACAATACCAGCCACACGCCGGTACCTTAAAGAGGGGAGAAGTCACGCTATGCTGACCTGAAAAGTAGACAAGGGATCTACAGGGTATAGAATGTAATTCTGGAAGTTTTATTATGCACCCATCGACATTATTTAGATTATTTAGGAGGCGGGCGGCTTCGACTCTGCCTGCCAGAGTCAACATAGCCTGAGAGGGACACAACGACCCAGCAGAAAGACGGAAAAAACTCGATAAACAGTAATTATTCTCTCCAATCAGGAATCGAACTCA